CCAATTCAGTACAGAAATTTGGCAGTACAGAAAAATTTGAAGCAAAGATTATAAAGTTGTACAAAAATTATTTTTTTAGTTGCATTTTGCATAATTGTTATTTTTCTTTGAAAAAGGAATATTTTTACTAATTTATTGAATTCATTTGTTGATTATTTATTATTTGATGGACAACTCTTTTTTGTACCTAAAATGAAAAAAATGAACGTCAATTCTGAGTTGGCATGTTTTCCAAATCGCAGCTGAAGTGGTAGGTTTCTCACGTGTTTTTTGAAACGGTACGTTTTTCACGACTAGTTTGAATTGGCACCTTTCTGCACTCAAGCTACGAAATATTAATTTTTGTTGATATTCTTTTAATCGATTTTCAAACATTATTCCATGTTCTTCTATTAAACTGTAAGATTCACTACAATAACTAATTTTCTAATGGACTCAGTGGAGAAACAAAAATATCTAATTATATTACTTCATTTTCATTATTACACAACAAGATTAACTACAACGGTGTTTACATCTATACCGAACTTAAACTTTTGAAGCGCCATCCTTCATATTGTATCTGTTTTTATATGTTACAAATGTAACTCTTAGAATTAGGAGAACGTAATGTACGAAAGGGCATGTCCCGTTATATTCCAAATAAATAAAAAAAATATAAATTATTGTTTATGCACAACTTATTATTTAATTGAGCTACAGAGTTGCGATTTTTTCTCATTTTCGCAATTTTTTAAGCCAATTGTAACCGATTGTAACAATTGTTTAAACAAATTAACTATTGTTTAATTTCAACTTTTTATCAAATTGAATTACAAAGTTGTGATTTTTTCCCAATTTTGCAACTTTTCAGGCCGCATGTAACCAGTTACTAACAACAAGCTAAGAATTACAATCATACCAATTATTTAAACAAATTTTTATTCTTAAAATTAAAATTGAAGCAATCGCAGTAGTAATTTCAAAAATTGCGCGTCTGTATAGTAACTAGTTACATTTGGCTTGGAAAGTTGCAAAATTGAGAAAAAATTCACGGCGGGTCTTAATTAAGGTATTAGTCGCGTAAAATGGTTTTCGTCAGATTTTTTTCAAATTTTGCATACTTATTCCTGAAGTATTTATCTACAGAATGAGACCAATTTCATTAATTTTGACCGTTTCAAAGCTTCAAAAAATGAATTCAAAGTTCATACATTTTGCATGGAGGGAGCACCCAATGCATGTATTGATTTTGTTTAATAATTATTTATATGATAACTAATCGTCAGATTTTGAAATAAAACTACCAAAGTATTCAATTAGATGAAACAAATAAATAAAAAAACATGACATTTTTTGACCGCGCTAAACTATAAATATATGGACAGAAAGTTAAAAAAATAACTAAATTATATGAATTTTCATACGAACGAATAGAGTGGGGAGTTAAACTATCTCTCTCACTCTCACTGCCCCACTCTAGTAAGCGGCCCGGTAAACTTTTGACCAGAGCCAACTGCGCGACTAATACCTTAACTTCAACCTAGAAGTTCTTGCCCAGATCGGTTCTTTCTTGCTTTTGTTTCTGGGATGCCCCTGATAATTTTAAGCATAAAATGAAAAAAATCGGTTGGGCCGTTTTTAAAAAAACTGATTTTTAACATTTTTGAAAGAGGTTAATCAACATATTTTCCTTAAAATAAGTGCAAATAATCGCCACATCTATTTGAGTCATTAAAAATGATATCAGAAAATAGGTCCTAGGTACTGAGTATCTTGAAGTAACTTTATACCAGAAAATTTAATTAAAAACTGTGAAAAACGGGTAAAAATGGAGTTTTTTGAATATTGCTATAGAAGAATTAAAGAGTATAAAATTTTGAAGAAAAAAAATAGAGTACTTTATCATTAAATCTTCCGGATTTATGACCTTCTAAAGTCAGATTTTATCAAAACCTATCGCGAAAAAAGTTTTTATTTTAGCTTTTGAAAAATAGAAAGTGTTTTGTTTATCTAACGCAATATAAATTACTGAAAATAAATTGATGTAGACAAAATCCTGAGTAAATCCGTCGTTGAACTATCATTCTATCTCTAATAGGATCGGAGCTAAGATTTCTTTAAAATGGCCCTTTTTTGGAATTCTTTTTTAAATAATTTTTTTTTAAATTGTTACATTTTGCAGGATGTTAATTGTAAAAATGCTCTTATCATATGGTTTTATGTTATATTTTAAGGAAATAAAAGCCCAATTAAATTTTTAAATTTCCAAACTTAAAACCTTAAAATAACAATACAGAAAGTTGATTTTAGAAAATTTGTAATAGACATCAAATTCATGACTCTAAACGTGTTAATAAAATAAATGTAATGAATGTAATTTAAAATATAAAAACATCAACCGATATCAATACCAATTTCATAAAAAATTAAGCAATATTGAAAAAAACTAATTTAAAATTTGGTCGAAAATCAAAAATATGATTTTGGCTTAAAAAATCGGAAGCACTTTATTTTTCTTTGTTTTCTTCAAAATTTTATACTCTTTAATTCTTCTATAGGTCATTTTGGGTGTATATGTACTGGGAGAGAGCAATATTCAAAAAACTCCATTTTTTATTCAAGCCTGGCAAAAACAATCCTGCAAATCCTAGTCAAATTGACTAGGATTTTAGTAATTTTGCCTATTTCCATAATGCACACGCGTCTGCTTCTGTTCTGACAGTGTTTACCTCTATATCTTTCGCGTCATTTATCGTGATTTCGTAAAACGATTTTTTATCATTACTCGCGTCTATTTTTTATACATAAAATGGAGTTCTTACATAGATCAAAATTGCTGGTTTCTCGGAACCTCTGGAAATATAGATAGTCCATGTTTTAGAAAGTAAACTATTTAATTATATTAGTCAATTCTTTCAGACTTTTTTGGTTAGGTTTTAATATAAATCGTCGAAATTTTTACGCACGTGGTGACAACATTTTTACTATTTTAATCGCGCAGTGTGTTTGAAAATTTACCTTTGCAATAATTTGTGTATTTAAATTTATTTTCATTTGAATGTCATAAATAATTAAAAATAAATAGTTTTTGACAAGTGTATAAAATTGTGTACTCGAAATGTATAAAACATCATCTGATTAAGTATTGTATTTTGACTAGAAAATCTAGTGTCTATTAAAAAATTAAAATACCAAGTCGTGTTTAGTGTAGTGGTTATCGTTCCGGGTTTCAAAGTGCGTATTCGTTAGGTTCAGGTGTTCGCGTCCCCCCTGCGTCAAATATTTATTTCATAAGTTTAAATTAATTCCAAGGTATATAAATGCAAAGTAAAATATGAATATGTTAATAAAATAATTAATTATTTTTTTAATTATATTTACTTTTTCTCTTTTATTGGATAATAAAAATTTGATTAAGAATTTCAAATAATTATGATACACAGTGTAAATCTAATATTATTCTCCTAGTCAATTTGACTATTTTTTCCTGATTACATCGACTAATTTTCCTGGTCACTTTAACTATGCTTGAATTTTATTACTTTGACTAGGATTCTATAGTGGGTTCCTCTCGTAACTAGGAAACCTAGTCAATTCCTGGTATACGGGTCCTAGGCATTTTTTTCGGTGTATATATCTTTTTCTTCAATTGGCCTATATGAATCCAATTGTTAGTTTCACTTAAAATCCATTTGTTTATGTTTGGGATGAAACACCCTTATTTATGTGGTAAAATTTGTTTATAACAATTTTAAAAAGAAAATACGACTTGGGAGTTTTTGGAGTCACTGATTACGAATCTGAAGTCAGATTTTTAAAATTCAAAATGGCAGATCCAATATGTCGGACGACATTTTTAAAATTTCATTAGATTCACTTGAAATTTGTTACTCGGATGTTTTTATGGTCGCTGAAAACGAATATGGCGTCAGTTTTTAAAAATTCGAAATGTCGGATTCAATATTTGCAAACGCCAAATTGGATCCGCCATTTTGAATTTTCAAAAACTAACAACGGATTCGTAATCAGCGACCCCGAAAACCCCCGAGTAACGATTTTCAAGCGAATCCGATCAATTTTTAAAAAAGTCATGCGTCATATTAGATCCGCCATTTTGAATTTTCAAAATCTGACATCATATTCGTCATCAGCGACCCCAAAAACCCCCGAGTAACAAATTTCAAGTAAATCTAATGAAATTTTAAAAATGTCGTCTGCCATATTGGATCCGCCATTTTGAATTTTCAAAATCTGACATCATATTCGTCATCAGCGACCCCGAAAACCTCTGAGTAACAAATTTCAAGTAAATTTAATGAATTTTTAAACAATTTGTCTCAGCCACCCAGAGTGCTGACATTGCATACCTATATATAGTTTAAACTAATTTTTTATTTATTTATAACAAACAAAAAAAATTTTTTTAAGAAATTGCTTTTATTTACCATAAATATTGTAGATCTGAAGCGCTGAGATGAAATTTTAATATTTACGTGAGTAAAATGAAAAAATGTGTAGTCGTGGGTACCCGGGTATGAACACAAGGGTTAAACAATTGGAAATTAAAAACAAAAAAACAGGTATATCTTTTTTTTCATTTGCCTATGAATCCAATTGTTAGTTTTTTAATACAATGACTGGTTTCTTCATGGGACTTAATGGGTTAAAATTGCGATTTTATTTTGTTTCGACCACCCTAGTGCAAAGCCTGTCAGACATTCACTTTATGTGCATTAATTTCGTTTATGATTTTAACTGTTTAATAGAGATACTTTGAATTAATTCTACTAATAAAAAGGTGTATTCTATATAAAAACTTAATGGTTTAAAAATACGTATATTAAAATAGAAAATTGTTTTATCAATTATAAATGCATTTTCAACGCAACCATGTGCGGTCAGTTGATGGGATAAGGATTTTTACTGTTGAATGAACAGCGCGTCACCCTCGCCCCACGTGGTGTGCAGTGGGGTCCTCCCCGGCTTATCTGGTGACTTTATGTATATTACGATATGCTGAAGCAGAAACGCGAGTAGTTCACCGTTGGCCAACAAGTTGACGGGACGCAAGAGTCAGCGAAGCAGTACCGCGTCAGCTGGTATCTCGTGGCTTTCTCATTCCTTGACAAAGCCATACAGACACCTGCAGTTACCTACAGTTTGCTCTCAACCACCGGAGACTCAATATCTTCAGAGAGATTTCATTTCTTTTCAATAGTATCTTTCATCGATGATCGTTAAATCGTTAAAAAAAAGTTTTGAAGAAAAGTGCAAAATGCTCGCAAAAATGTGTAGTTAAAAAATTATTGAGTGTTACCATTCAACAAGTGTTTTAAACGTGAATTATAAAATCCTTTCATTTTTTTTATACCACGTGATATACAAAAAAAATAAAGGGGAAAAATGATTTGTTTGCCCTGGTCCCTTTTTTTGATTATCTCATTGATGCTGAAGACATCTCAAGCCGTACTCACTGGTTCCATAACAGGTACGGAACATTTTCTATAATTTTCTTCTTCTGCGAAATTCAACCTCAGGATTATGAATAAACTCAACTTGACAACATTTTTATTTATGGTATTCTAGTTTTTTCCGTAAGCCAGCTTCTATGTGGCAAGAACTTGGTTTACTGCTATAAACAAACAGCCTTGTACCTTTTAAATTTAATTTTAAATTTCAACTTTAAAAACACTCGCGAATTATCTTCAAATTTTATTTTCCTTCAAAGATTTACAATTTTTTCTTTTATACCAAATTATAAAGCTTAGAAAAGTCTTTAAAAATATTTTTTTTAAATTTGGGGTACTTTTTAAGAAAACTTAAAAAGACTTCTCAAAAAAATATCAGTTTAGACTTTTCTTCTTAGTTGTCGCATTATAAATAATGACAAGAGTTGAATAACATCAATAATGTAATTTTATACTTTGAAATAGGTTTTACAATGTATCTCAAAAGGAAATTTAACCTTATTCAAGTGAATTTTTTTATTGTAATTTATTGTATCGAAAAAAGTACTAGAATAAGTATTAAATTAAGGACTAAGAAGAAGTTTTATTTTTTTCTTCTACTTTCTTCTTTACTTTATATGTATTTTTATTACCTTTGAGTTTAAAGATTTTAGCTATACAGACAGTGGTTAAAGCTTTACTTTCTTTGTCGAGTTTTCGATTCCTGACTTATTCCTTTATTGAATTTAGGGGTCATTCACAAACTATGCGTCATAGTCCTGAAGAAAGGGAGCTGAAGTCAGCTGTTTGTGATGAATTGTAGAAAAAAACATATGTAGCAGAAGGTGACGTTAGAAAGTTAGCTTCATAGTATTCATCTACTGAAACCTACTATTTACTATTTTTTTACAATTTGCCACTATTTGGACACTTCTATAGATTTGTCACACAGAAAGCTATTGAAAACACAATTTTCATAAAATTCAATGTTTAAAATGTTGAAAATTAATTATTTAAAATTTTTAAAAAGTTTAACAAAATTGGTTGATAGAATTTATTTATTTAAATGTATAAACGGGTATAAAAAGTCCTTTACAAATAATACTAAGTATTGTATAATGTAATAAGTATTAATTCACTTAGTTTTAAAAATTTTTATAAATTGTTTAGAAGAATTTAATTAATTTCAGCACAATTTATAGCATGTCCCGTTTATAATGGTAAATAAATAAATAAATAAATAAATTTTAATTAAATTCCTCGTACGAACTTAAACTTTCTTCAAAACAATATTGAATTTACATTTTTGCAAATTTATTTATTTTTTTGATTATTTTCATTTATTAGTTTCAAAAATAATAAAATTTTCAGAGGAATTCAATTATTTAAAACACAATTTGCATAATATTTTTCGAAAAAATCAATTATTACTTAAAAAGATTTAAAAAAATAATTATTAAATAAAAAAAATATTAAAAAAAAATAAATAAAATAATAAAATAATAAAATAATAAAATAATAAAATAAAATAATAATAATAATAATAATAATAATAATAATAATAATAATAATAATAATAATAATAATAATAATAATAATAATAAAAAATAATAATCAAATTATTTGCAAGAATTCAATTATTTTCATAAATAATAAAACACATTGCAGGATTTCATTAGTTTTAATACAGTTTTAAGTTTTAACTGAATTCTTCAAAAAAATACACTTATTCTTTGAAATTTTAATAATATTCCTTCAAAAGAATTCAATTATTTTAAAAATTTTTTGATAGAATTTGTTTATTAGAAGTTAATAATTATTTTCAGTACATTTTTTAAACAATTTCTTTGAAAGAATTTAATTATTTTCAAAAATTTTAATAAAATTCTTCGTAACAATTCAATTATTTTAAAAATTTTTGATAAAGTTTTTTATAAAAATTAAATTTTAAGAAATATTCAATTATTCAATTAATAATTCACTTTTCTATTTAAATATTTAAATTCTCTTAAAACTTTTTAATAAGAACTGATTTAAAATTGAATTTCAGTTAAAATTTTAGATAATAATTGAATATTAGATGCGTTATAGTTGGGACACTGTTAACTTAAAAGAATCAAATTGCAACGAATTGATACAAAAAATGTGGACCAAATCTAAAATTGATCCTAATTTCTGGCATCAATTTGATCCACTTTAGTATAAATTTGATACTTTCAATAAGATAACTGGATTTTTTGAAATAATCAAATTTCAAAATATTCTTAAACTGAAATCTTTGAAAATTTTATTTGTTGTAAAAATGTAATAATATTTTAATTTTTCTTTTGAAATAAAATAATTAAAGTTTCTAATAATTTTATTTAAAAATTTCAATAAAAGAGACTGGATTTTGAAAGAATTACAGTTGTAACTTTTAGAAATTGTTATATATTTGAAAAATGCTTTAGATTAAAATCATCTAATCTTTAATTCATGTGGAAAAATAAATTGTCATTTAAAAATTCATTTGAAAAGAATTATTTAATTTTTGGGTGAATATAATTTATTTTAGAAATCATGAAAAGTTGAGTTAAAATGCACGTTTTGTGATGTCCTGCCATAATATTTTGCTAATTTTGAAAGCTTATTTCAGATATCGCAGAATATTCTAATAAATTAATAAACTAAAACTTTAATGTGAATTTCAATATATTCAGGTAATTATTTATCGAAGTTTATCGATTCAAATTTTAATCGACTCTCAATTATATTTATCTAAACCCTTGACATTTACATTTTATTTGATTTCAATTGATTTTTAATCAAATTCGAATTTCATTAATCTATATATTTTATCGAAATTTTAATTATTTCCTATTTTAATTAGTTAATTAAATGTAAACGAAATCAGTTTCAAATTAGATCTATCAAAAATGTATCCAAATTGTAATATTGGTTTTATATTTAATTCAAAGAAACCTTTATTAATGTTAATTTTCAATTATTTTATTCTTCATAAATTTGAAAATTCAATTGCTTCAAAAAATAAGTTCAACCAATATTTAATTGGTTCATATTCTGAATAATCGAAAATTATAATATTTAGCAAAATTTTAATCATCTACATTTAATTTAACTTTAATTTCAATCAAATATTACAATTTTTACGATACCTGAAATATTTTATTTTCCAAAAATTAATAATTACTTTTTCATAGAATAAAAATTTGTGATTTTATTTTAAGAGAAATAGTTTTAAAATTAACTTGAAAAACTTAGATATTAATTAAAGTTAATTTTTTGAGGTTATTGTGCGCCGGTTAAAATTTTAATCGCTTTAACGTTATGATACCTTAGCTAACTGGATTTGCTATTAAATGGATAGTAATTATTGTTATAGCTATAATACAACCAATAATTATATTTCGTAGCTAATTTTTTTTCTCTGAAAGGTAATTATTAACAGACAATAACTAAGAATTATCTATCCATACAATAGCAAACATTTTTTTTCCTGTTAAATTAAAACTTTTTTTCTAATAATTTCTTGGGTTTTTATATACTTCAGTTTGATTGTAGATTTTCCTTTATAAGAGTTTCACTTTTAACCTGATATGCAAAAGTTTTCGAAAAGAAAAATCATGAACATATTTTATATTTAGTTGCAAGTTAGGTATGAAAGGAAACAGTCCTTGGGAAAGAACTTGGTGTTGCTCCCCTTCCTTCTTTTCTGATGATTCTCTGGCTCTTTTGCCTCGTGACCTTTTTCTTTCACACTCTATATATGCACGCTTTGTAAGGGCCAATTTTCTCATAAAACTTATTTTCAAGAGATATATGCCAAGAGTTGGTATTTGTTTTAGTAAATTTGGTCCATTTCGGACAATTTATGTACATATAATAATAAATAGAGTCTGAAGGGAAAAATGAAATGTAGCTCTAGTGAGAATTCTATGATATTTAAAAAAACAAGAACTTTCATCAAAAAAATAAGAAAAGTTAACAATACAACACAAATGAATTATGCTTTAAATTAAAAGTATTATTAAATTGAAAATTAATAATGCAATTAATCTTTCACCAGCTGTCTGAGAGCATACATTATTTTAGATTTTAATTAAACCAGACATTAAAATTCAATGAGTATCCATCACTGAAGATTTCCACATAAATTATTTAATTATATTCATTTCGAATAATGCGTTTCAAGACTCTTTCATTCATTGTTTTGCAAATTAATGATTTAATGTTAATATTTTTAACTGTGTGTTATAACTTTTTTATGTATGCATAAATCGTTAAATATTATTATTCTGGTCATAACATATAATATCTCACATTTAAAAACTCATTTTAAAAAAACTTAACCGTTGTCATTAAGTAATAGTATACATAACTTTTTTTGACCCGTTTATATGCAATATGTAAAACAAATATATTTAGATACAATTTTACTCGTATAAGACTATAGCTCATAATTTGATCTCATTAAATAAATGTAATTTTTAAGTGGACACCCTTTTTGGTAAAGCAATGAATCGTATATTTTCTAAAACATATTAACTAATTTTTTTTTATGTTTTCAAAAAAAGCTTCAACAAAAGAATTTTATGCTAAAAAAAGTAGAGTTTCCAATAATTTATTAAAATCAGAATTACTTCAAAAATAATAAAGATTCTTTAAAGTTCTTGGCCTTGTTTTAAATGTAATTTTACATCAAATAAAAATATCATATTGCCAGGGCTCGGATTGTGCGACTTTTTCGACTTTTTTGTGAAAAAATGCGACTAATCGACTTTTTCAAGATGTTTTTTTTTAAGTAAAATGCGACTAATTGACTTTTTTCACATCTTTCAATTACTTTTCGACTTAAATTTTAAATAGCAGAAATATTTTTTGGAGACAATATTGTTCACAAAATCATTCTTCTCTTTGGGGAAAAAAACATAACATATTCCCGTTTCTTAATATTTTTTTAGGAAATTCTCAATTTTCATAACGAAATAATTTACAAATTAATTAATTTTTCAAATTTTTCGAAAACATCAATAATTTCTAT